TTATATATATATATATATATATATATTATGAGGAGTAGTGCCCATCCACCACCCACACCATCTAGCAACTAAGGCCCAAAGTCCATGCTTCTTACCCAAAGTCCATGCTCCTTGCTTAAATCAACAACTCAGAAACATTCTTCAATATGACAAAAAAAAAAAAAAAAAACAAGTTTCAATACATCCTACCAACAACAGAAAACGTCACCCAAAACTAGTTCATTCCAAGTTTTGTAACTTTAACAACCATCTATTACTCCAATAGACAACACCCTGGTAGCATCACAAAATAAATCTCCGTCAATTAAAATCTCATGGTCAAATCACCCAGACTGTAAATCCAATGACCATAGTTGAATCATGTACCTAATTATAATGTTTTAAGATCAATTTTCATGAAAAGCCACATTCCATGAACTAGAAGGTCTTCTATGCATTTCTCTCTATGGAAGCACATGGTAAAGATAGTTGATGGCAGGTTGGGTAAAGGAATTGTTTTTATTGTACAAAAAATATATTTAATTAATTTACTAAAAATTAATTATTTTTATTAACAAAATATTATTTATTAATTGTAAACTATATTAACATCAAACAAAAAACTTTAAAAAGTAATTAATTGAAGCAATAATGTTATATATATAATAGTGTTCAATTTATATCCAAAAAAAAAATGTTAAGTGGCTTAATAGTTTAAATCATGAAAGTTTTTATGAAGATCATGAACTTTAATACTCAATTTTTAACTTTTTTAAAAAAAATTCTTTTATTTTATTATCACATTAGTACTGTATCATTAGTTCACATCATCATATGAGTGTCACCTTATATGTTTATGTGAATATCACATCATCACTAAAGTAACATATCATCAAGTCATATCAATATTAATGTCACGTTATCATTAATTAACGGTCAATTGATGGAGGGAATCAAAATTGTGTAATTTGAAAAAGCTTCTCCAACATTGGTCATAACTCCAAAGTAATTTGTTCTTTTATGACAAAATTTCGTCACGCAATGAAAGAATGACCAAGGAATGTGCCTTTTCTTCCTTTTATACAAGAAATTTTTTTTTTTCCAAGTGTGATGTCCTCCCAAAATGAGGTTTCTTCCTTCAACAAAGTTTTCATCTTTATGCGCCAAAGGTTGTAACTCGTCTTTCTTATAAACTTTTCAATCTTGATTGTGTTGGTCATTTTCTTGAAGATACACCATGAATAGCAAAACAAAATGATTGATCAACCTTCAAAGATCCACTAACAGATATGAAATTTCAAAAGAAAAAAAAAACAAATGTAAAATGAATGATGAAATTAGTTTTGTATTTAGATAATAAGACTAGAATATATTTTCAATTAAGCGTGTTTGACTTGGAACAATTTAAGAATGAGTGACTCTTTGGAAAGTTTTTTAAAAAGCGTGCGAGTGAGAACAAAACACACTAAAAAGTCATATATTAATTTGTAAGGTCAATCATTGATCTTAAAGGTAGAAAAATATTTTAGAAAAAGCTATCTATCGAGGGTTCTAATCGATGAAGAGTTTTGACCATAAATTAGTGGATTTGTATCAATTTGGACACATCAAAATGAAAGAGAACCATAAATTATACAAGTATGAGATTGTACAATTAAGGATGACTTAAAGGAATTAATTTGTATTAGCTATATCAACAAGATATATATACTTTTCGATAGCTCATCACTTAAACTTCACAGTTAAACGTGTTTGACTTGGAGTAATTTAGGGATAAGTGACGTTCTGAAAATTTTTTAGAAAGCATGCGAGTGAGGATAAAACATGATAAAAAGCCTTGTGTTGGTTTGTGAAGTCAATCTTTCATCCTAAAAGTGGACAAACATTTCATAAAAGGCTACCCATGGAAGGTTTTAACTAGTGAAAAGTTTTGACCAATGAAGAGTTGCATGAAGTGTCATCATGTGAAGTGCCATAAAGTGGAGCTAAGATGTCAAATTTGAGGAGTGTTACACCCCTATCTCTATTTCTCCCTCTTTTTTTGTGTTTCGTTATTTCTTGACTTTATCAATTTTAAAAATATTGTCAAAATATATTTTATTTTCATAATTTAACGATATAACACTTTATTTTTAATGAAATAAAATAATAGATTTTTTATCTTTCTTAATTATAAGATAGTATTTTTATTTGTTTATTTTTATTTGTTAAATTTTATATTTAAATATTTTTAACTATAAGTTATCTACTTTTTAAAACAGTTCAAGTTTTAGTGCAAATGCAAATGTTATTATATATAAAATTTGTTTATATATATATGTAATTAATTTTTTTATTATTGTCAAAAATTAATTAAATCATAAAAAATTAATGTCATATTTGTGATAAGATTTAAGTAAAAAAATATATCTAATAAAATTATTTTAATAAAGAATATTTTTGTAAAAAAATATTTATACTCATAAATGTATTATTGTAACCACATGTGAAAAATATTTAATTTTAGATAAAATTGTATAAATGTTTATAGAAATTTTTATGAGTAATCAAATATACTTTAGTTATTATTAGGAATCATTTTCATGATTTGTAATTCCTAAGAATCATGATTTATATATAACTTAAATATGTTTATAGTTTTTTAAGTTTGAGATAATTATTATTTTTTCTTTGAATTAAAATTTTGTGTTTGTAGTCCCTGAAATTTCAAAAGAAAAAAATATATTTTTAGATAGTTTCTATATATATTCTTACGATCATCAAATTTGAAACTTACATTTTTTTTTCCACGAAAATATCAATTTTATTATCATTATTTTAGTCTTTCTACATAAATATTATTAATAAATCGATCTATCAAATAAAACTAACTTATTACCGAATCATTTGCATAAGTTTTTTTTATAGTATTTTTGTTAAATAAAATATCACATTAAATTAACTTATATTACACTGTAGTATTAATTTGTCACTATTAATTATATTATTAATGATCTTGAGAAATTATAATAATATTTTTTTAAAAATTATAAAAATTAAAAATAAATATAAATTTAAAATATTAAATAATAATTTTTATATGTTAAAAATTATAAACACAAATTTTAAATTTCAAACAACAAAAATATATACCTCAAATTTAAATTAACAGAGATGGCATCTTATTTAAATACGCAGCTAAATCAATCATAGTTGTAATGTCAAAGACCAACAACTTGTTTTCAATTAAATAAGACACTAAATATGTTTTGATGTTAATTGAAAACAATATATAAAAAAATTAATAAAAAATAATATACTAACTTTTTTTGATTTCCTTTCATTGAAAGAATACAAATGAAAATATAGCATACTCAATATATAAAAAAATATATAAACATATCACTTTATATTTATTGTACTTATTTTGTTTTGAAAGTTACGTTCATTAAACAAGTTTTAAAAATAAAATAAAATATATTTTTGTAATTATTTATTTATAAAAAAAATAAAAAAAAAAGAATCCTAAGCTGGAATTTGGATCTCTCCTGTTTTTTATTTTTGTTTTGTGCATTCAAATTCCAAAGTTAGCTTAGCCTAATCGCTTAACAACAATCAAATCAACACTTGTGTAATTTATCATTTATCATTTATTTAAGAGAGTCTCGCATGTGACATGACGTGTGACAACTCAACCAGCAGCAATGCAGGCACTGCTCAAGTTCGGTGTTAATTATCCTTAATAAATGCAAATGGTAACGTGGATGTGGATAATGTTTTCTTTTTCTGTAAAAAAATAGTTCACGAAATGAAAATGGATAAATGTTACCACTATATGATTATGATTATTAGTTTTCAGTTCATTACTTTTAGAATGAAAAGGACAAGATCACTCTTCAAAAGGCCCACCAACCAAGTTTCCATTTCTCAGTTATAAGTTTGGGAGCATCACCATTGCTCTCTCTCATGAGTCTCATCAAACCATTCACAAGAAAATAACACTTTTTGTCTTGCGCTTTTACCCTTTATCCGTTCAATCAATACCAGAAGACCCTTTTTGTTTCAAAGGTTTTAAACATTCTTGGCGTCTTGGTAAGGTGGAATTTTCGTTTGATTTTGATCCATAAGGTGAAAACAAGGATCATTGAAGACACCCTTTTCGTCTCATGATCTTAGGTTAACCACAAGATCCTTTTTTGTTCAGAGTTCAGACTAATAACCATGGCATGTTCCTTGAAGAGTGTTTCCTGTGTTCCTGAAATGAAAGGAGTTTTGGTGCCTTGTCCCTCAAAAACTAGCAAAGCAAAATCATGGGGTGGTTCTGTTTTGAGTAATGCTTTCATGGGTGAATCCATTACTCTTGATGAAAAAGCCTCAGGGTATTGCAGTTCAAAAACCTCCACCAATGTCCCTTTTCATGTAAGTTGAAGCTTTGGTTTTTTGATTATTTAATTTAGCCTTTTTGCTTCTTCTTTTTTCCTTTTGTAAATCTGGAACCTCTATGTTCTATCTCAGGCACAATCAACAATTTGTGTCAGCAAGGCTTTGAAGTGGTGGAAGAAGAGTCTGAAGCCTAACATGGTTGAGATCCATTCAGCACAAGAACTGGTCCAGTCATTGCTCAACGCTGGTGATTCATTGGTTGTGGTTCATTTCTTTTCACCTGGTTGTGGAGGTTGCAAGGCCCTTCATCCTAAGGTATGCTATGTCCTAATATGTTCCTAACACAAATCTTCATTTTGCATGTTTTTAATGTTTTGGGGGGGTTACAATATTTGACCAAGTTTGTTTCATGTGACCAGATCTGTCAAATAGCGGAATTGTACCCAAATGCAATATTTGTGAAAGTCAATTACGAGGAACTGAAAACCATGTGTCACGCTTTGCGAATTCACGTGCTACCCTTCTTCAGGTTCTATAGAGGCGCGGAGGGACGAGTTTGTAGCTTCAGCTGTACCAATGCAACTGTAAGAATCTGATTTTTGTTACGCTTCTACTGTGGTTATATATTTTTGTCTTTTCCAGAATTCTGATTTTATGAATATGGATATGGATATGATTATATGAATATGTTATGGCACAGATCAAGAAATTTAAGGATGCCTTGACAAAGCATGGGAATGAACGGTGTGGTTTTGGACCAGCAAAGGGTTTGGACGAATCCGAATTGAAAATTTTGGCTTCTGTTGGTGAAATATCAGTTAATTCTTCTCAGTTACCATGTCCCAAGCAAGGGAAATTTGAAGATTTGGTCACGGAGAGCCACGATTTTTCTGGGGTTTGGAACATGGCAAGTAATAATAGCAGGGTATTGATTTGATTTTTCAAACAAGAAAGTAGCCAAGTTTGGTGTTTGTTTATTTACAGAGGGAAGATTATAATGGAGTAAAGTGGCTCCATAGTCCATATCATTTAATATTTTATTATTTGTTTTTTTTTTTTTGCTGTAAATGTAAATTATAATTTTTGTTTTGTGGAGGGATTTGATGGGGGATTGTAACATTTCTTTTGTTGGATCTGTGGCCCAGCAATGTAGCAATTGTTGCTGGGATGATATCCTCTGCCCAGATTTTGTATTGTTCTCTATATCATTTTGAACATGGCATGGTTCATTGAATCTTTAATTTATGGTTGTTAATTAGAGTTTCTTCTACAAAAGAAATTCATTCTGTGACAGAAAAGAAGATTGATTCTTGTTCCAACACGTAAGTAAATTAAATTCAAAATTTAAAAATTCTCATATATGATAATTTAATAATAGTTTTTACGTATTTCATTTTCTTAATTCATAAATTTTTTTTAAAGACAAAATTGTAACGACTTATCCGTGATACTTCTTAGTAATGTTAATGCATTTGAAATATTAACGGTAGAAGAAAGTTCTAGATCATACTTATCCTTTATTTTCATAAAGAGCTTGTTTTAATGCAAGAAAAATCACACATTACATAGAATTTAAAGTAAATAATATTTTGAGTAAAACTAACAATATATTTTTTAATATATTTATTTTTATTAGTTTAGATCTAATTTAACTCTATAAAATTAATTTATAATATAAAAATTATTATTTTATTTATATATATTAATTTAATTATATCATTAATCGATGTGAAATTTTTAACGAGTATTATTCATGTTAGGTAAAAAGCATTTTAACCTTACAAATATAGTATGTAAGGTAGGACTTGGGATTTTTCTCTATTAAAACAATAAAATTAGGAAATATAGTCATTAAATAGGATGAGAGACCCACCAAATTTTATTTTCTTCAATAAATTTCATCTAATGAAAGAAAATGTTTAAAATAGGAAAAATTACATTCACCTCTCATGAGATTTGTTTAAATGACATACACATTTCCCTCTAATTTTTAAAAAGCAGTCACCTTACTACAAGAAAAATGGTTGAATTGTTATCTATTTAAAAATATGTTCTTTTTGGAGAATTTTTTATTCAAAATACCAGTCTTTTAATTGCTGAGACTTATTATATTTTCTTAAAGTAGTTTTTGAGTTTACTCATTTGTAATTCAAATTATGCAATAGAGTAATAATGAATGCAACAAGTTAAATAAACAAATAACGATATATATATATATATATATATATATATATATATATATATATAGATAGATAGATAGATAGATAGATAGATAGATAAATAGAGATTGAACACAAGATTTATATTGATTCACCCTAATTGGACTATATCCCGTTCCTACACAATCTTGTGGGATTTTCATTAAAAACACAACCAACTATTGCTTAATAACTCAATCATCTACTAATACAAATCATTACTACACAACCATTTGTTGTATGTAGTAACTCAGCCATTTGTTGAGATTTTCTCACTCGACAGCCTGTTGAGAAAACAACCCCACACCCATCTTCTATGAGATTATACAACATCTGTTTTTATTTCTTTCTATTGCCCTACATTTTTTCACACTTAGTTTTGGGTAGGAAAAATGTTTACAATAATGGGTTTTTTGTGTTCTTGCAAATTGCTAAGACCATAGATACTTCTCATACATTGGAGCTTCCACTCAAGAGGTTTAACACTTATTTTCTATTACAAAACAGATATACAAATATGAAGTGGAAGTCTCTAAAAAATTCAGAGTATGAAGAAAGGAACGCAACTGATTATGCTTGTGTAGTTGATTTCTCTCTTTGATCTTTCTTGCTTCAAAATAAGACCTTTGTCTTCCCTTTATAGCCACTTAGAAAAAAAATTCGTTGTGGCTTGCTTATTTTTTAAGCTAGATGCTAACATTATTGTACTTTGCTTTTTCAGGTCTTGACAACATTTTACAAATGAGTTGCCTTCTAAGTAAGACTTCACTTTATGCCTTTTGAACAAGTTTACAATACAAGTCTTCTAATAAGCTATATTTTAATTGAAGCCTTTTGATAGTCGGCTTAAAGTGTCAGTCTTCTGAACCAGGTCTTTAAGACATTTCTCTTGAGAAGAAATGTTTAACTTGAATCTTTTTTATTAGAGGCATAAGATACTCATCTTCTTGCTTAGGATAGACATGTCTTTAGTGCTAATAGGAAATCCATCATAACTAGATTTTCTTCACAAGGATCTCTTGTGAATCTCTTTTACTATTCAAGGAATCATGAGCTCATATAGCCTTTTGATAAGACTTAAATATTGTTGAAACACTTAAACAAACTTATTAACACACAAATGAGAACTTTACTATTCTATAATTTTAAACTAAGAATTTGTTATTATTACAACTATAATTAGGTATGGTTCAACATCGTCTCTCTTAAAATAACGTCATCAATTAAAATGTGAGAAAGAGAAAAAATAAAAGCCAAAAAAATAAAAAGCTAATTCATATTATGCCAATTGTACAAGTTTTTAGCCTTCATTTTTGAATTACATATAATGATTTGTCTTCTTTATGAAAATTTTCATTGTTCTTCAATTTTGAAAATAATAATTTCAGAACCCATTCTTTGAAATTGTTCCTTGAAATTGGTATTTTTTAAATCACAATATAATATTTAAGATAAAATTTGGGAGTTAAAATTGAATAAGAGAAAAAGTTTCATTTAATCGTTGACACTTGCATTAATAATTTGTTCTCTTTTAACAATACTGATTGGTGTCATCTTATATAAGAAGTTTGTATGTGTCACTTGGATAAATAAATAAGAGATGTTAGTGTACACTTGAAAACTATAAGAAAATGTATGTCATTTAAAAAGACCTAAAAATAAGTCAATGTAATTTACTCTTTCAAATGAGAGTGTTATTTTAAAATGATATAAGTGTGTTGCTAACATTTTTCGGTAATTTATACATACTCTTATTTTTAAATCAACAAGATATTTTCGACCATAGAATGATATTTCTATTTACAATGAAACAATGATAGCCAAAAGAGTAGTAAAATAAATATATGTTGATTCTTGATTTAACTGGAGGAGTATGTAGTCTCGTAGAGTATGATTAAAGCAGAATTGTGAGCACTAAATAAAAGAACGAGTGTTGATCAAGAGTAGAGTGTGCCATGTTCATATGTCGACTTCTCCAAGTACCACCGCTGCGTGGATTCAATCACACGCAAGTTAATCTGCGTGCGAGCACCCATTGTTTGATTCATTAAATGCTAATAAAACCATTACTTTATTCTTCTCATATTTTGAGAGATTTTCCTAACTATAACACGTTTGATATTTTGACCATGCAAATCATATTTGTCATTTAACTATCTATGAGAGTATTTAACTATCTTTCGCAATACTTGTAATTTACTTATAATAAAAAATAACTAAATAGTTTTAATTTTATGAAAACACAAAGTTATGTAATCACAATGATGGAAAAGATTGAATATTGTCATTCAATAACAAGTCCCATATGATAAATTTGTTAAATTATATATATCTTAGTTTATGATTGATTGATAACATATTTTATACCTTTGTTGTATAGAAATTACATTTTTTTTTAAATTCTAAAACATTATTATCTTATTAATGTTTTTTTTTAATTTTATTTATTAAAAAAGTTAGTACAAAAGATTAACATGTATTGTAATGGTATGTTATAATCTTTACACTCAATGATTTAATTACAAGCTGTGAAAAGACATACAAATCCCTATATAAGATTAATATACTATACTTATTGGATATACAAGTAATAATATATGCATGTTCAAAAATTTGTATCAACAACTGAGACATTATACAAGTGCACATATAAGTATGTACAATAATCCGAAAATTGTAATATATAACCCAAGGTTGTCGGTCAAGTAACAATTAACAACTTCCAGATTAGCTACTCTAGAGTAGCCTAAAAATAAGTATCGCCATCACCAGCATGTCCTCAAAAGAAACTGCAATGGTAATCTATCTTTGCTCTACTCTCATACAAAGTATGATCATCATAGTCCAATTGCTTGAAAACATGTAAGGGTAAGCTAGTATTTAGAAGAAATCAACATAATAAGTACAAAAATGGAGTTACTATGCTATCAACATACACAACTTAATATGTTTCCCTATAGCATATCTCACAACTTATCAACATAATACAACATGTTAGTCAATCAGGACAACACAACTATGTAACTCAACAAACTTCAACATAACTTGCGAATAACATAAACATTAACTCATACCAACATATTATTCAACTTGAACAACACAATAAGAAAATAGTATATGCATCACATGATTCAACACAACAACCACACATGCACAATGAATAAACTATATGCATCGTCACGTATTTCAACTAAGAGATCTCTTATAACATAAGTGAGTAATTTAAGTGACTTAATCCTACCAAACCAACAACTTAATCTTCTCAATCTAGCTAAATCAACAACCAATTGGAATATCAATCCCTAAAAACATGGTTCTTCAAATGTCACCACTTAAACTAGTTAGTCTAATATTCTTATCAGGGTAGAACAATTTGGGTGTGAGTCTACCACGATATTAGCTAGCATAACTAAATCATTTATGAGATTAACCCTCCAAATACTACACCTTTCTAGTACTTAATAAGCTAAACCCCTAACCTTATATCTTATTTTAATTTGGTTGCTTTATATACGTATACCTCAACGTTGCCCACATACGAGTCAATAGTGGTTTTTTGTAGTCGGTATACCTTAACCTTGCTCACATATTACATCAACTAAGGTTTTGGAGGAGATTCAACTATCCACTTCAAGGTCAACTTTTCAATAAGGGTTTTTAACAAACTAAGCTCTTGCAGCACCATAACACAATATCCTCATAATGGGATATGCAACTTTAAAAAAAGCTCTCCTCTAGTCCTAAGTCAATCAACTTGCCTAAATGTCCATAACATTCTCAACATCTCACCTTAACAATTCAACCTAAAATTCATATATATATAATCAATATACATAGAATAATATCACCAGTCAAGATATAACTTGCAACATATTCAACTAACTTACTCATATTCATCACTTAATCACTTCATAACAAGCATCAACAAGGAAGTCCACGTTCGAGACCATTCACTTGGAGCTTGGTGCCATTGAGACAAAGGTCTCCCTGCCTTTCCCACGCCCAACACCATTAAACTTACGCTCGATGTGGATGAGGTGAGG